ATGTACAATATTTTAATAAAAATATATATATTTATAAATTAAAATAATATTTTATTTACACCAATTTATTAAACATGTTAGTCATTTTAATTGTTCTAGACCATGAATGAATTCTACTTAAAAAATAATATTTATTTTATTTATTCAATTTTATTTTATTCAATCAAAAAAAACTTATATAATAATATAACTTTAAGTTCAGTATTTAAATGTACGTGCGCGCGCGCGTGGCAGTGCGTACGTATGTATATTCTGGAAAAGTTTTCTTCATCAATAAAAATGAAATTTTTTAAAATGAAATCATATTTATTACAATATTTGTTTATACTGATATAAACGAATCTCCAGCCAAATTTTTCAAATCATTTTAATTAAGTACGTTATAGTATTATATATATACATAAATTTAAATATCAATAAATACCATTTGTTTATTATAAATATTTTAGAAGTCACAAATTAGTCATTTTTTTAATGTTTATAACTTTACTTCATATATATTAAAATGTAATGAAAACAACTAATAATATATATATAAATATACATTTAAGAAATAACTAAGATTTTTTTGTTTGCCTAAATTAAACTAAAAATTTCATCCCTTGAATTTATATGAAATTTTAATTTAAACAATATCATTACTAAATTATATATATTAATTATACTTTTTTACTTAAATATATAATTTATATAGTTTACAAAAATAATTCATATTCACCAATGCAAACTATGTTCTCAAATATCGTAGTAATTAATTCATTAATCTTATATGTAGATAAACATTAAATTTAACGATAAAATAATATTCAGCGGAGACAACGTGTTAATTATATTGTTTAAGAAAGTTTATTCACATTATAAAAGATAATATAATTTCATCAAAAAATAAATTGTAAATATTATAGATAATTTTTATTTAAAAATACAGCTTTATCTTATTTTAATAATTGCTACAATGGAAATAATTTTATATTTTAACTTTATCATTTTCCGTGTAATTTTTTGATACATTAAATTTTGTTTCTGTAGAATAAATTTATAAATAAATATCAGTATTTTAAGATTTTATAAAATTTGATAAATTTATTCAATTATAATTTTAAGTGTGTGTAAACATTCAAAATTTAAAACATCCAAAAAAAACAACAATATTTTATTACAACGTTGGTGTCCTAATATATATAATTAGTATTTTACAACATATTTATGTTTAATACAAGCATGTACTTTTAAAAAGATAAATGGTATTTAAATAAAAGGCAAACCCACAAGTAATTTCATAATTTACATACAATACCAATAGAATAAACATTATCAATAATACAAATATACAAATATTAAAATATTATAAGAAACATAAGAAGATTCTTCTATATTTATCCTCCCCAAATCTAATAATGTTCTTGAGTACCTTGTAGCATCTCTAGATGAGACAATAAAGTGTAAGTGCAATAAAATAGCTTATTAAAATATTCTTAAAATAAAGACAAAAGTTCATTTACATACATTTTTAATTACATAGTAGTTAGATAACAGTGATAAATTAACTACAAAATATTATTATTATTTACAATTATTAATTGTAAACATATATTCATAATTATTTCATATAATAAAAGCTGAGTGATAAAAACTAAAAATATTTGAAATGTTAGAAAGTTTTAAGCTAATAATTTAAAAAGAAAAAGTAGATTTTAATAATGAAATATTTTAATATAGTTTTATATATTTTACTTTATTTTAGATGTTATTATTCAATTATTTATCCGATTGAGGAAAAAAAATATTATAAAATTACCAAAGTGTTAAATTAAGGTAAAAGCATGTCAATATAAAAATTTCCAATAACTTCGTGATAATGGTTGAGTTTATATATATATATATATATCTTAATAAAATTTATTAGAATAAAAATGTATATCAAAAAAATATTTTTATTAATTAATCGATTTAGATCTATATTTAAAAATTATATTATTAGTTTTCATTAATAAATAAAATTTTTTTTCCAGAATATGAATAATTGATAATAATAGAATCGTACAAATTTAGTACAAACGAATAGTAAAAAAATGTTTATAATAAATAATAGAAGTATAACAATAAATGACCATGCATAATAAATTATATAATTATAATAAAAAGAACCATTTCCTAATCAGAAATCTAAAAATATTTAAATCATAAAAATTATTATGAATAGATCATCCAATCAAGTTGGCTGGAAATAAATAATATCAATTATATTATTAATTAAACATTATAAAGTAATCAACTTTAAATCTTCATAATATTTACAATTATTAAGCCGTGAATAATTGTCATTTTATACATTTATAAGTTCAGTAGTAATTAAATTAATTTAATTAAAAAATAATACGACACTCAAAAAATCTATTTATGATTACTGCGAACTAGTACTTCATATTTTAATATTTATAAACTAATGCTTCATATTTTATTTTTAACTTCTAATATTTCTGATAAAAGTTTAATGCTTCAATGATATATTTATTAATAATGAAAATAATCTAAAATAAATTTATCTTTATTAATAATTACAATATTAATGAGATAATCAATTTTTTGAATTTGTTGTTTTAATAAAATATATTACGATGACAATATATTAAGCTATCGGAATTTTTAATGATTAACGCAAGAAATAATTTCATATGGATTCGTTAATTTTTGTAATTTCAAAAATATTGCATAAATGCTTCTTACATTAAAATTTTATAAGATGTAAATACTTTCATACGAAAATTTCTCTTCTGGTTCATAGACATAAATAAACTATTTTATTATTTAATATTGTGAATTAAAAATGAATATTTTGTAATTTTTTTCAGAATATAAAAGTTTTTTTTAAAAAATCTTTTTTCGGAACTAATAAAAGTTATTGATTATCATGCTACATAATAAAAAATTTAAATGTATACATGTAATTTGAAAAATTAGAAAATTAAATATAAGTACTAAATATGTTTATTCTTTATAAGCAAAACATTTTTAATTTTATTATATTGTTAACTTCTTAATTAACAATATTTTATATATTAAAGCATATATTAATACATATAATACAAAAAAATACATAAAATAAATGTAGTATTTATAGGTATAGTATGTGGTATAAATGACTAGATTTAAGATATTCTCATACATGATTAAAAAATTATAATTCGAAGTTAATTATTAAAATGTTACGTGGCTAAGTAAACTGTCAAAAATTATTTAATGAATACATATTCAATAGAGAAAAATTTTAAATGTACACTATAAATTATCAATTATATTTGTTATGTTCTATTCCAAAATTTACTTATATTTACTATTATAATTACTTTTATTAACACAGTCATACCATATAATTTTTATTATTTTTGTTTTTAATACAGTTGTTTATTTGGAAACTTTTCATATTTAAAAAATATTATTTCATCTCCACAGTTTTCTTAAAGTACAACATTTTCTGAACTATTTTTATATCACACAAACATTTGTACGATAATTATCAAAGTTTTTACAAAAAATATAATTCACATTCCGAAAGAATATTCTACACTAACCATGTATATTGAATATCACATCGAGTGTAATGTAATAGAATTAATTTTATTAACTTATTAAAATTTTAACGTAAGCACTAAGAACATAAAAAGTTCATTTATCAAAATACATTAATAAGGAAATCTACTAAATATATATTGAATAATAAAATGTATTAATGACGCAGAGTATGTATTGATTGATGTTAATATATAACATGACTTTAATGTAGTATATTTTGAACATTAATTTTATGTTCAGTAAACTTGAAGCTTTACAGAAATTGTCTTTCTCACAACCGACAGTAATTAAATTCTAAGTCTTTATATAGCATTTGTTTAAAAAAAACGTATACATAAAATAAATAACTCTCATATAATAACAAAGAATACAATTTCAACTCAATTAAATACAATTAAAATTTTCTGTAAGTAAAATAGAATATTATGTGAATATATTAATGTAACAGTACTTTCATATTATAGTTCTGAAATGTCTTCAAATATTTAAATACAAAGAACATTAAATATATTTAAAAATTCCTGTCTTGAAAAAAAAATATATATGTTCAAAATTAATATAATTTTATATATAATATATAAACTTTTATTAAATTGTCAAAATTATTTGTTTTTTATGCAATGAACTTATTACTTTATTATTATTTTTATACTGAATGTTTTATTTGTTAAATAGTATAGTGTAAAGTGAAATTTATTCTTTATTTATTATAAATAATATAATTGTACCGAATAGAGAATTAGTTCTATAAGTTTTATTGTTTGAATTATTATACAATTATAAAGTGATAGTAGACAATAAAGTATATAAATAATATCAAGTACTAAAGATAACAAAATAGTGTTTAGATCTTTATTATGTTCTGAAAGTATTGCTTGTAATTATTTACAATAAATAAAAAAATATTAAATAACATTTTTATTTTCAATATCCAAAGGAGCATGTTATTGTACATACTTATCAAGATAATAAAAATTTAAGAAATTGAAAGTAATAATTGTATTTTATTGTTTTATTTAATTTCATTGTTTGAAAAAAATTAATTTTTTACTTTTCAGTAAATAGTGCAACAAAAAATCCGTTTAATTAATTATTATTAAATTATTTATAATTCTGAAATACATTTACAATAATTATTTAATAATTCCTATATTACAGTAAATGACCTATGAAAAAATCATTAATTTATAAATATGTCATTTACACTACAATACAATACTTAAGTAAATTGCAATGATCTTATTAAGTAATTTTATTAATGTAAACATATTAATGTAAGGAATAAAATATAAGCAAACAATTAAATTTACGACAAGGAAGGACATACAATCAATTATTCAAAACAAGTTGATTTTTTTTAAGTATTATTTCTATGTAATTATTATGTCAATATTACTCATTGGCGAAATTTATATCTTATATTGACATTGATCAACTAATATAAAAGAAAATAATTGCATTACAATACATTATTACAGCATATTATTCACTTCGGTTAACCTAATATTAACTAAAATATGATTTTTATCTTTGGATACTTCGTAACATGTCAACTGACGTATTTCTAATTAAATTCGAATTATTTGAATTATTTTGAGAAATGAGGTTGTTTGCTTGTCCTTGATAATTACTACTTCCTGATGCATGCCTAATCGTTGTACTTTGTTGCGGAACATTTACTGTGGATGTTCGATGTGAAAATTGGGAATGCGTTGTTGGTTCAGCGGATGAATTATTTGTTAATCCATTTTCAACAACTGATGTATGACTACCTGTAAATGTGCAATTAATATTTTATATAGTCTTATAGATTTTAAGATATTATTTTAACATTATTTTGGACTTCTAATTAAACATATTATAATACTTAAACTAATTTATTTTTGAATAAATATTGTTTTCTATAATGCTTACTAGTAGTCGATGGTGATGTTAATGGAATTGCTAGCCTAGCATTTACAGCAAGTAGGTGATCTCTCCTTTGCAACAAACTATTTACATTTTCTTCTAAGCGTAAATTTTCTGCTCTTAGTTGATGCAAACACGACAACAATGATGCGATATCAAAATGTTGCGCTTGATCCATAAGAAATTGACTACCTTGTTCCCACTGTCTTTCCAATAACTGATCCAATGTTTGAGGAATCGATCCACTTCCTAACACTCCGCTATTATTAGTTGTACCTGCGGTATTATTTGGAGAAAACACTGAAGAAAATGACGGTGTAGTTACAGCATTTTGATTGGCTTTAGCCGAAGCAATCACACGACTATGAAGCGGAGGCCCAACTAAATTCATTCCAGAATTAGTCGCTTCTGTGAAAATTGAATGTGCTTTCAATTCCTGTGAAAGAGTATCCGACATTTTTTGTGCCATTGATGATGTCGGATTCAGCTGATTACCTAACATATGAGGCGCACTGACACCATTGTCGAATAATTTTGATTCTTTCTCTTCTTTGGGTTGATATTTGGAATCCATTGGGGTATATTGTGCAGCATGTGAAAAATTTTGTTGTACAGACGTTGAACCACTAGTTTCATTTCCCCTCCTTTTTCGTCTCCCGGACACGGCACTGCTCATGCTTTCGGATCCAGGACTACTTGGAGGAGAATCTTTTACAGTTGGCCCCATATTATCACTAAAGCTAGATCGCATTTAAATTACTAATTGTCAGAAAGAAATCTTGAGTAAAATATGGTAATAGAATCACTGCAACAAACGATAGAATTTTGTCTCCGCAAAATATTCCGTTTTAAAATTCTATTTATTACTTTAATCTGCTGCTGATATAGCAAGCGATTAGCAAACAGACGATCCAAAATTACATTCCGAATTCATTTGTCCCTTCTGTACTTCAAAATTTCGCCCTAACGATAGACGATAACCACTTTCATCATTGATGAATACGAGCACCGCAAGTTAAGAAGATCCAGAGATAAGTCCTGAAAAATACAAAAAATTTAAGTATCAATAATTTTCTTTTAAATAAAGCAGCAGTTATAAGAAATTTCTAGAAAATGTCATCACTAAGTAATAATGGTAACGTTGCTGAAACTTTCATATTCTTTATTATTTTTCTTTATAATACACTATCTACAAATGGCTCATCGATAGTCCTATTTATTGTAGGAATTCAGATGCATTTATCACAATTAATTTGAAATTAAATAATTTTTTCAATTTCAAAAAGGTTTTATAAAATATTTTAATGAAATAAGTTTATACTTACTCTTTATCTGCCTTTAATGATGCAATTAAATCTATTATAAGTTATAAAGAGTTTCTAATAATTTCAAATTGGTTGATTGAAAATTACATCTGAAATACTACGTTGATAATTATATCAATGCATATTTTATAATTAGTATAAAAACAAATATAGTATAAAAGGAATTTTAAGAAGTTCAGCACTGTTTAAATTATTACTTAGTTTATTATTTTTTAATATGAGTATATATATATATATATATATATATAGCTATGTGTCTCAAAACTCTTTGCTTGTAAGAATAAAAAATTATTACTTATAAATTTAACATATTTTATTAATACTACTATGTCATAATTATCTAAAGGATTTAAATTTTCATTTTTTAAAATTATGTTATAATACGTTATAATGGGTATATAAAATAATTTTATATTAAACAAAATTAAGCCAGTCTTGAGACAACTACGTTACTGCTTTATTTAAAATAAAATTATCAAAACTTAATTTTCTGTTATTTTCAGAATTTAACACTAACTGTTTCAATTTAAAGAATATTATTCGGAAATTTCTTCAAACACAATATCCTACTTCACTTGGTAAGAATAGTTTTCAACAAATCACACCTTTTCAAACACAGCTTACAAATACTCACATTTTATTATCAAACAAAATTAAAATTTAAAAAATAATAACTTTTATGTTATTAAATATTAGACTTAAATTAAATCGCATTTATTCTTGTATAAATTATTTGTAAACAAAGGTATAGAAAAAACCTTATAAGAGTGTAGTATATTTTTATATGGTAAACTTGTTGGATCGTGTATGAATAAATTTGATTTTTTAATTATAATTACCACTGAAAACTTTCGATTATTTATAATAACAAAAACTTGACAATACATAAACTAACATTTTTGCTATTTTTTAAATAAAATCCTATTAGCGTCTTACTAAATTTATAACCCTTTTTAAAATTATTCTTAACGTACCACAATATTTATGAATTTCTGACAATAATAAATACCTTAGTAATTTTATAAATTACTAAATTGTTGGCTAAATTAAAACATCAATATTTATAACTATTTCAGTTATAATTTACATTTGTTACATTACTTCATTTATAATTAAGTAAATATTAAGATAAATATTAAAAACAGATTAAGATTCATTGATTTTATAAGTTATTAATTAATTAATTTGTGAAGATTCATTTGCATCATAAATATTTACAAAACCTGCTTGCTATATATAATAAACCTATTAATTTATTTCTGAATAAAAATATAGCATCAGTATCGTTTGTTATATCATTTTAATGGTTAATTTCGATTCAAGTATTTGATTTAATTTTATTTGCTATTTCTGACATGAAATGAATCCATAAACTTTTAATGATGCCTATCAATGTCTATAACGACTTTAGTCATTTTTTTTTAAAAAATATTTTTGTACGAAATTATTTTCAAGATAAAACAAAATCGATATCTTAAATTTTTAATTTACCTTGAAATTTTGTTTTCTGTTCTCCAATTTCTTTGCATTAAAATAGAGCGTAAATATATATTAGAATGTTATATTTTTAAAATACATTATTTCAAAATTTACTAAGAAACATCTTTTTATTCTAATTTATATGTATACTATAAACCAGTATCAATTACAAATCAAATTATATAAAATTATAATGGCAATGTAGTATCAGTAATTGACCATTATCATGTTTTACATCAATAGTAATGCAGCTTATAAATTATATATTTTCCTTCTAATTATTAAATAATATGGTCAAATTAATCTATAATATATATAAATCTTTTATATATATCTAATATATAGATATATAGATATATATATAATTAACTAAATTTGTAAATATACAAGATTTATAATGAAACACAATCATTATTTAAAATGTTTAAATACAGTTATTATTTTTACTCGCTTTAGGATCAGATTTGTCATCCTTGATAAAAAACAGAAATAATAACGTAGCAATAGTTGCCTCTAAAAATATAGATTAATAACAAATAAAAATATTAATAAATATTTATAATTAATGAAAAAAATTTTTAATAAAACTGAAATGTGAAAGTATATTAATCAATATGAAAATCTCAAAACATGATTATAATTTTATATGAATGTATTTACATAAAATTAATAATCTTCTGCTAGTAATCTTTTTATTTTTATTCAATATTTCAATATACATTTTAAAAGTTTATAATTATTTATTCTTATGAAAGTTAAATAATAATTATTAATTCATATCATATCATTCACATAAATATTTTTTCAAATAATTATAAATGTAACTTACCAAATTAAATTATAGCTCTCAAAAATTATATTAGCAAAAAACTATCATTTATGGCATTTTTCACAGACTATATATATATAGTGTATATTATATTATATTATAGTATTCACTTTGGTTGAGTTTGAGTAACTTATATTAAAATGAATTAATATATTATATTAATAGTAATTACAGAAAAGTACTTATGAAAAATAAAACTTTTTATCTATGAAATTATATTTATGAACTAATAAAAAAATAGTTTTCTATATTTTTCTTTGATAAATGCATTCTTATTTAAAAAGTAGATAAATATCAACAAAATGGCTGACAAACATTTTAAGGAGTATTTTAAAATATTATTGAATATTCTTTACATATTAATATATATATATATATATATATAACTTGTTTTTTTTTCAACTGTACTATGTATATTATAATTATACTTTTGAATGGTTAGTTATATTTTAATATAAAATTTTAAACATAGATTAAATCCAATGATTATAATCATTATTAAATTTGATTAAGAAACTCTTTATTCAAATTCAATTTCTATTATTACTCAATTGTATTTCATTTTTAAACTTCAATTTTAATATTTGATATTAATAACATTTGAGCTACTAAACTAGAAAATTGACAATACATTTAATAGATATATTTTTAGATTACAAAAAATACTATTAATAATGCATTGAAAATAATAAATAGATAATAATAATCAATAAAAACAAATGAAATTGATAAACTTATAAAAAAGCAATGTATATTCTACATTAATATAATATACTTTTAAAGATAAATTATAATAAATGGTATTGTAATAAAAGATAATAAATGGTTAGATACATAAAATTATAATGTTATTGCTGTTAAAAATAAAAAGGAAAATTAAAAAATAGCATATTTATCCAAAAATTTTTAATTTTAAAATTTTTTTCACTTAACCTAAAAAAGTTTACTAATGATACAAAATTGAAAATATACATTTTTTTTATTATATTGTAAAAAATAAAATATTATTTATAGAAAAATAATTATGACAAAAAATTTTTCAAAGATTTTAATTAAAATTAACTTCTATCTTAAAAAGTCATATTAAATCAGTTAAAAAGAATTTTCTAATAAACAATTAAATAATTTAAACTCTAATTAATTATATTAATAAGTAGTTTTTTTAATACACAGACATATATGGATCATCAGGATTTGCAGATATAAATCGTTGAAACATATTTTAAAATTTATAAAATTTTCATAGAAAGTTCAACAATCCACTTATAGAATTTTAATAAAGTCTAATATACTAAATACTATAGGCATAAGTAAAAAATTTAGTTTTATAGAATAAAAACAATTCAGCTATTAGTTCTGTCACTTAAATTAATAATTCAATTAAATTTCTCCCAATATTTTTGTTTAAATGGTGTATCAATAATCAAAAAGTAATAGGTGAAAGAGTATGTTAAATTACTAGCCGTATATATTACTTTGAGAGTTCAGTTTTTTATTATTCTCGAGAAAATAAGAATTAAATGACAATGATTGCTTTGTGTATTTTAAATTCTCATAGTTTAATGTGAAACAAATATGAAATGGATCATAAATTCTGTAATGTATACAAGCAATCAAAACAATAATAAAGAAAATCAAATAATAAAATAATTGAATATAGTATGAGGAAAAAATATTCTAACAAGTGCATAGAACATCGGCTAAAATACGAAGGTTGTCGGATCATTACGAAATTTTGCTGACGCCTATAAATGCAAATGTTGGCGCTACGCAGTTTTAAAATAAAAAAAATATATTAAAAATAATAAAAAGAAACTACACCTAACCTATAAAAATGCAGGATAAACGAATTGTTTTCAATTTTCATTTGTATAAAATATTTCATCAATTAAATGAATATAACTAAATAAGGACAAAAAACTATTAAAAAATGATAGGATAGCAATGAGATCGCGTGGGACATTAAAGGGAGCAAATGCACAGAAAACACATTATGTATAAAACAAAGATGGCGACATGGAGATGGTTGCGTATATTTCATAGCTCCTTAGTGCACTCTTATCCCCTTTGGTCACATTTAAAGCAAGCCGATGATGGCCAATGTATTTCTCGAAGTTGACTCACCTGAGCATTCGTCTGAGCCACGGTTTCGCTTGTCGCGTTCCTTCCTTTAGGTCGGTTGTTCCAGTAAGGATGAGGCCACCGGCCGAAACGAATGCTAAGATTATCTATCGGAGAATGACCGAATCGTCCGAATTAAGAAAAATGTATGACAGAGACCGAGATCCCGAAGCAGAAAACACCCGGGCGCGGAAGCCACAGCACAGTCGTGCACAGTCACGCATTCACACGAGTGGGACGTGCGCGGGGATGATTTCTCTCATTCTGCTGCTTCGAGTGGTGCAAGTGGCGACATCACGCGATTGAGCGGGCTAGACGACAACTTGACCGTCTTATCGTTGCCTCGACTTCGTCCAAATCTAATGGCGGCCCAATTTATTTACTCAATAGATTATCGGCTCGAAGTGTGCTGTCATCTACTGGCTGGCATTTCTACTTTTGTTAAAATGCGGCGGTGACGACGGCAACAAGTCAATCGACTAAGCTAATTTAATTAAAGGATAATCCCTCCGATCATAAATTGCTTATTATTTAGCAACGTTATTGTAGATTCATTATTAATAACCTTCTAGTCGAGATAAAAATTTCTTCATAAATCCAGATAAATAGTACGAATGAGTGAAATTATTTGGAAGTTGAAATGTAGGAAGGCAATAATTTTTTAAGCACAAAATATATTTTGCGATAAAAATAAATTATTAGTAATCTCAGATATTGTAGGATATTAAACTAATTGTATACTAAAATACTTATTTTTAATAGTATCAATTTATATTAATTTTCATAAACATTGTAAATATTGTTTTGATATATTGATTTTTTATCTGATTTGCTTGAAAATATTCATTTGAAAATAGTTTATTCCATTGCCATTTGTATATTATTGTAGAAGCATAAGTTTTACATATTAACCAACTTAAAATAAAGTTATAACTATTATTTATCTACAACTATTTTTATGAGGATATTTTTATGAATATTATGAGGTTTCAACGCACCAACTGTTAAAATCTAACTTATAGCTGATTTGGCAAAGTGCGTCATCTCACTATCGAGCAATTCTAAGTGTATTAAAATAGTTGAGCTCATCAGATATGAAAAAACATTTATCATTGTAATCCGATAACAGTATCCGGCGATGGAAAGTAAAGAAGAGTTTTGTCATTATTAGTTTAGTTAGTTGCATTAATTATATATGTAAAAGCGTTTAAAACATAACGATAGAATCAAAAATATTCCAAAATCATGGAGTATATGAATTTCAACTTAAGTATAATAGATTTCCGTAAAATTAATTAAAATTTCTATAATACATTGAAAACGTAGATTATTTTCAGGTACAAAATTAATAATATTTTGGGATAATTGTTATCATCTATTCAAATAAAAAAAAATCATTATAAACTACCGGAAACATTATTAGTTCTTTTGAATAAATTAAATTATTTACATGTATTAACAATGTATTATTTTTAAATTATATCGTTATACTTTCATATAAAAAAAAGATTATCATAAATATAACAAATAGTGAATGTACAGGTAATGGATCAGAAATCAAAATTAATCTTGTTCAGTCAAGCGAATACTTACATAAGCAATAACAATTCATTGAACTACTTTATGTTATACTTTACCATAAACAGTACAAGAAAAATATGGTAAGGTTTAATTAAAATATAAAATTTATTAATAGCTGCACTTGTTAATAATAGTATTTTTTTCAATAAAATTATTTCTTGCGTTTTATAAAATAATAATTTAAATTTAACCACATATTATGATTTATTCTTATTAAATGTTTGTAAAATTATTATTTTTATTTGTAACACAAAATAAAAATTCAAATACTATTTAGAACTGAATATTAATATAAGCAACACAAATTAAACATTAAAAGTCAGCTTGTTTTTCGTTCGGTTACAATATCCATTATATAATTACTGCATCATCGAAAATATTATAAAATACAATATTTGTTTAATAAACTGTTCAATGTTGTTTTAAACACATTCAATAAGTTGCTAAATGATACGAACATTTAATGTTTGACAATTTAATATAAGCATTTTTAATGAAGAAATATTTATTAGAATGTTTATATGAATCAAAATTCGACTTAGTAGAATTTTAATTTAATAAATTACCATATTTAAATTGCATTCATTTACAATAAAACTAAGAAAAGAATTTTTTGTATTTATACATTAGTTTCTTAAAAAATACAAATTATACATATTTATGTGTGATGTAAAGTTATAAATTCATTAATGATTCATTTAAACTGCAGAAAAAAAGTAAACATTTAATCGTACAAATTATCACAATTATTATCCAAAATAAAAATATTACGTATTACGTACCAATAAATATTTTTAGTTACTTTCTATACATTTCTCTTGTTTAAAAAATTACACAAATTTCAAATGAATATTAATATATATATACTTTAGTAATTTATTTCCATTTATAGGCTTTTGGGTAGTACGTATTATTTAATTAATTTCAAAATAATTATATTTTTAATTTCGTCTAAAATTCAACTTCTAAAATATAAACAATTTAACTTAAAAAGTAAAATGACTATCATTATTTTGTAATTCACTAACACTTTTGCACTATTAAAATAATTAATATCAACTATGTAATTCTTTTATATTACTAAAAAAAACATATTTTTGTGACAAGTACAAGATATTTAAGGTGGAAGTTTTCCTTATTTATAAAAATGTATTAGAAATTTCAGAATGTAATTAGATTGTATTATATAATTTACAATATAATACAGATCAATATTAACTTTAACTGCGACTATATTTTTTCGTAAGTTCAATATATTATAAAGCAAAATGAATCAATAATTAAGAAATAGAAATGAGATAAACTATTATAGCTTATGAATATACATCTTTAAATATATTGTTATACTAATAATGTTTTATGTATACTATTAAGAAGATATAATTCGAGGTAACTATTAATAAACGAAGTTTTTTAAAATAATTTTTATTTTCATTTTAATTTTTATACAAAATTTCATGTTTACATATAAAATTAAATCTTTAGATAAGAATAATAAAATTAGTTTGAAAAAAATTTTTTGTGATTACTTCGACCATTATTTTGAAACAATTAATTTACCAAATTAGAAATTATGTTTATTTAAATTTTATTTACATTTCAGTATATTTGGTTTAAAAAATATATATGTTTCAAGTAAGTTGTAATATCATTATATTTAGTATTACTGATAGCGGTGTAAATAATTTAACACAATTTCAAAGTAGGAAATATTGTAGAATTAATCAAGTATATTAACATTATTGTATTACACAAGTATTATAATAAATAGAGCTAAAATAAAATAAACAGCTTTTAACAGTGATTTATATTTACATTTTAATCACTTCACACGATATGCTGTCTTGGGTCCAAAAACCATCAGAAGAAGATTTTAAATATATTCTAGCAAATGTACGTTTACTTAATCTTTCCGGATTTAAAATCACAGTTTCATTTACATGTTTGCAAAAATATCGCATATCCGATGGTAATAATAAGACATGTGGCTTTTCTTTTAAGAATGCATATTTTTCCCAAAGTTCAGAATCAATATTAACTTCTTTGGCTGGTGGATACAATGGATAATAACAAGCTTGATTTAAAATATAATTTCCTAAACGACTGAATTTGTCTGTTCCAGATGGTTTTCTAAATATTTATTAATAAAATGAATATTTAAGTTAAATGAATTATGTATTATTATATCCAGTTCGAAGCAATACATACATCATGACTTCTTGACGTCCAAGATGCATCAAACTATCGATCGATGTAATTCCTAATCTAAATCCCTCAATATCCAAATTGCAGGGATCAGGTAAAACAAAAATATTTTGACATTGCACGGCCTTTGGCAGAAAATATTCTGGAGTAGGATAGACTGGATGATGATGTACATCTCGACTCGATGCAACCAACACTACTTGAGTACATTTTCTATAAATAAGTGCAATGTTATTTCTTCTATGTACAACTAAAATTTAGGTATAAATAAAAATTTTAAAACACCGTAACTTACCCAGAAATATAGTTTTTGATTTTAGTAATTATTTTATAAAAGAATTCTTGATACGTGCAAGTAAATTCATCGTCCTGTAAGAGAGGATGGGAATGATCCAGAAATGGTCCAATGAGAATGAGCACATGAGGCTCTTCCTCAGTAATTTTGGTCATCAGTTCCCAAAGCGGTTGATAGTTTAAATCGTTGGACAGCGTAAATGGTCCAGCCGCAATCACAATATTAAGATTATCAGTCAAGTGAGGCGGTTTTGCTGCGGGTATAAAACTTTCGCTGAAAATATTGTGGACTTTCAGTAAATTCTCTGTCAAATTTAAACCTTCAACCGCGATCAGTTGACCGGGGAATAAACAGCACTCACGGAGTTCACTAAAGTCGAGTTCGACCTGTAGAAATTACATTTAATATACAAATTAATTATATAGATGGGCACACATAGTTCTTTGTATTTTAATAGCATGTAAAAGTTGCTCCACACATTTCATTGATGATCGCGATTAAAAAATTAAACCCGCATATTTATACTTTAGGTATTGAAAATATTTCCTTAAAATCATGCTATTCATGATATGGGTAGAGGCAGCTATTCTTACCCGCAATTAATTGATGAAAAAAAAATTAACAATTTGGTTGGATATAATATTACTCGATGGCTTAAGAAGTATAGTAGAAATGAAATTGATAATATTAGACGTTGAATGCAAATCCAGTAATAAAAATATTCGACAAGTGAATAAATAAGGTCCCCTAACCTGCGGCCACAATTTCTTGTCATTGTTCATTTTGGGCGGCTTCTTATAGCCTTCAAGCAACACAGTGGGATTTGAATGTTTTGTCTCAGACTCAAAACAGATGCGACCCCAAGTCCTGTAGCGTTGCTGGTGTTTCGCGCGTACGTTCCAGGTGACGAGCACGTCATCTTTCTTTTGTTCAGACCACTGACTGTTAATGCGCATACCTATGAAGCGGCAAACGCGCGTTCGAACTTCTGAAGCTGTCTTTAGCAGATCGAACATGTATCGGGCTTTTGGGGGCACATGAGGACCGACGCGCCCTATCGTGAACCTCTTTTCCTTATTCGCATTCGTCCAAGATGATACTTTTGAACCAACGGCCATTAGTACCTTGCTACCCGTTATCGATTTGTGCGGCGTATTTCTGAAATGAAAATATCAGGATACAAAGCTATACCCCAAGCTTATAATCTACAAATATCTTTTCCTATTTAATAATTAAATAGCATAAAAATATGATATTCCCTACACTCTGCCAATCGTATTACGATTTCTCAAGATTATATATTTCAAGAGTCGTAAACACTTCAAAAAATTGAGTAATCAATGAGTGCACAGGCATCGATTCCAAAATTAAATATTGAAACAAAAACAATTGTAGCATAACAGGATGCAAAGTATCGAACAAACTCAAAACAATCGGTTGTAGAGCTTTATTTAAATTCATTATCATTATTATTTCATAAATTACTTGGTACTACTTCTATCATCTGAATGAAAAAAACACTTCGAAAGGCTTTTCTAAATTCTTTCAAAGCCAAGTAATAAGCGTTCCAAGAGTTCGCACGAGTACCGAAGTCCGTTTTCGCAGATTCGACCGCGTAAAAAAAATGAGGGACTAAGAAAGGTGGGGGCTTGCCGGTAGAACGTAGATGTAAATATGGGGAAGGCAGGCTATTCTACTTACGATTGCGAGAAGCCGGTCTGAGATGTGGCTGTGGCTGCTGTGGTGGCATCGTGAGGAGTTGCGGGCGGCGCACATTCCGCAAGCCGCGTTTTGCATCCGCTGGCGTTCGGCTCGGAGTCTAGGCTGCTCTTTGTCTGCTCAAAAACAGAAAAAGGCCAAAGCCGGTGAGTCGTGGTGCGACAATTTTTTTTCGAGTATTCTGTAAATGCCCGACCGTGCTCACGTTTGAGAAACTACGTTTCTTCCTCCTTCGAGAGGAAATAAATTCATGAGCTTCTTCGAAGCGACTATGCTTCAACCTCGAACTACTTATTCACTAGCGTCTAGCCACAAATACCTACCCACCGGATGCTACTCAATTTTTATCAATATTGCATATTTATATGGCGTTAAGAGCATGAGGGGATGTACTACAGCATTTACAGAATATTCACGACTTCTGGTTAAAGAGAAGCTCATTATTTGGCTGGGGTTACGAAAATCACAATAACCATTAATTTCTAACTATGCATAATTGTTGTTATAACTTAATTAGAATCAAATACGACTAGTTTTCATAATAATATTAATTAAGAATTCGATAAACATTATCATATTTGCTAACAAAACCTGCTCCATGTAGAATATGCAAAATGTTTGATTGATTTTGATTGAAAAAAAATTTTTCTCATGTTCGCCACCACTACATATAGATAATAAATAAATATTTGAAACTAGCTATAATCATATATACCTTTGAAAAACAGAACTAGAAAAATAAATTCATTTCAGACTCTATGTATATAGGACTTTATTTACTTTAAAAAAATTTAATATATCTGAGCGTACATTATATCCAAATAATAGTTAAAAACTTTTTAGTCTACCAAAGCAATGCGAGTCTTAACTACAGATAAGAACTACCAAAGATTCATCGATTAACTCTCGTACACTTCAGAATGGGCTGCCGTAGACGAGTGTGTATCTAGTCACGTTATAATGATCAGCCGTGCACCAAATTCATACTCGTCTATGGAATCGCCTTCTTCCATCAACTGTAAGAGATTTTATTTCCTGCATTGACAGATGCACTTTTCCCACGCTGATTGCTGATGCTTGTGACCGAACGTACTTAATGAGTGTGGATCTAGTCACAGATCGGTAAACTGCGCACTAGACCATCACTCACTCAGTACAGTCGGCTGGCCATTGTTCGATGACTTCCGGTTTGTTTTCCTGTCGCTATCCTTCTTTTCTGTAATTTTTCTTAAATTTTTATCGATTCCTATGCTCTTGTTTTTATTTCTCGTGCCTTCAATCTCAAGGTTCATTGTCTTTTGTCGCTTTCGTTTATCACCTTTTTACGTCAGTAAGCGAAATTCGAATTGATTAAAGCCAGCTTAGTTTGTCTGTTATACGTTGAAAATACTCTTGCTTTTGATTTTTCAATTGTAATAATCGTTGACGTTGGATTTAAAAATTTGCTTTACTTTTCACATACATGAAAATTAATTATTTTATTGTATTAGCTTCTCAAATAAGTTTGATAGAAATATTGAATTACTTATGTTAATTGGTGAAAACCTATGCATTTAAAAATAAAAAAATATTACTAATATAATTCTAAAACTGATAACGATAGTTGATAAGTATTATCTAGTAAAAACATTACGTAATAATAAATATTTTATTAAGTTGTGCGACTGCACGAAATAACTAATTAAAATTTTTTTAAATATTTTATAAATGTTAATAATTACGTGTTTATTATATAACCAAAAAAATTACTAGCTACAACTAAATAATTTCAATATTATTAATTATCATTATCTGATGGGCCAATAAAATTTAAACATCTGTAATAAATTGAAATCTATGCGCACGCAATTAATACACTACGGTGTACAATTATATCAAATGTAGTTTAGAAAATAATAAATTTAACATACAGGAATAATAATTACTTTACTATGTATAATAATTTTAATAGTAGATTTATTATACTAATAAAAGGTAAGTTTAATTCAAATTACACATATAAAGCAGGGATTTTCATGATTTTAAATTTAAATCCGTATAAAAGTTTATTTTACTGATTTTCAATGTGTGTCTGTGTGTGTTCTAAAAAATCTATATTCCATAAGCACGAAAATTTTTCATATCCATGAGTTCACAACTTTAAATTAATATATTTAAAAAGTTAATTAGACAGCACGTGATAAATGATGTTGAAATTAATTAAATACTTGACACTTGTATCGAACAAGACTGATTACGAAAAAATCAAACAAGTAAATCTTCCATTATTATTCAATAATTATTATACATATATCTATATGTATGCATATATAGGTAGTTTATAATAAATTTATTTGTAAAAATTCCAGATTGCCGCTTTTCAAAGTTCGTTTTATAAAAAATTAATCCAGAGATTTATAATTAATTATAAATTCATAAATCAAGACCATTTATAATTACAAAAAGGCAATTTTTATTATTTTTAATAATAATAGTGTTAAAATCCACTTCGAAAATATACTATTTCTTATGCATATGCTGTAACAAAATCGATTCAGGCAATATTTCTCACATTCCCGAGAGCTTCGAAATCCACAACTTCAGTAACAAAATATTGAGACTTGAATTCTTTGAATCTTAAATTTTAGATGATGCAAGCCTCCAAAATACTTTCAATTGACTGTTGCATATCAAAAATAAAGAAAGAAATTCACACGCCCATTTACAGTCGATGACCGCAATCGAGAGAGTGAGAGAGAGAGAGAGATAAAGAAAAGGAAGCACACTAATAATTATTCCAATGGAACACGTGACATCACTGATAAATGATTTCGTCCGACGGATTGGTTCACGCTAACCTTACTAGCATACGCGGACTTGTAGTCACGATAAAAAGTCCCGTCGTCACTGTTGCTTCTTCACTTTGTTCCGATTGAGTAGACAGAGAGTGAGTGAGTGAGTGAGTGAGAGAGAGTGTGAGAATGAGAGAGAGAGAGACAGAGAGAATAACTGTGAGGGGAAGGGAGATAGAGAGGTAGGGAGAGAGTTGTCATCAGAGATCTCGGGAGTTGGTAAGTTGCGCGCGCGCGAGTTGCTACGAGAAAACGCTGACGCGAGATAAAGCGAAATAGAAGGGGCAGACGATCGCAAGTGTTCGGTAGGATGTATTCGAAGGCAACTCTGACCGAATGGGGGTTAACTGGTGCTTTAACCTGGCCCTCTGACTCTATTTATTACACATGCTTTCAATTAAATTCGGTGGACCATCAATCTCCCCTTCTCAATATCATCACTTCTTTAAATACTCTTTCATTCTTTCTTTTATTTCTGTTGTTTCCACGCTCTACTCTCTTTTGTCATCTTTATTGTACCGATAGATCGATTCACCTATCTTTCTCATCATTTCATCAAACATTTTCTTTCGCATAATTAAGAGCCCGCATAAATTTCTAAATAATATCCATTAATAACTGTACAAAAGTCGAACAAATTTTCATATAGTTAATTTTAAAAAATAACGTCTTATTTCATCCAAATATGCACTTTTTTAATAAAAATTTTTTCGTCTATCTAATAATGACTTTTAATTTTATAAGCATGAATTATTAAATAAGATTTATTACACATTCTTCTTCACGGTATTATTAAAATGGTAACCGTCATAAAGCACGTCATCTTTCTTACCCACTTGATTTTTAATAATTATTTTGCAATAATATTTATTTGTTCGTAGTATGCCTTTCCATTTATTATTTAAAATATATAACTGTAACTTTTAATAGAGATTGAAGTTCAAAATTTTCTATAGTTAAACATTTTTTTTTCAAATATCTGATGTGTTTCAATGTTTTCACATAATTCATTAGTTTATGCTTTCTCCGTAAAGTATTCCCTTTTATTAACTTTCTAAATATAAATTATTTATTTCACTTATTTCACTTTTTTCTATTCACATCCACTTCCTATTTTAGCCCTACACTCATTATATTATATCACATTACTTTCATTTTGATTTTTTCTTCGAGCTCACATAGACTCGTGTTGATAGCTACTGCCGATCTATTTCCTGTTAATAATCCCAAATGCTCTGAACGAATTCATCGCATTTTAGCACGTGATCTAGACACGCACTTACACTGAAATTCATCAAGCCGTGGTAACCATGATTCACACTTTCATAACGACGCTACCAGCAAAAAAGAGTAAAGCTAGGCTCCTGTCATAAGATTCTACGACTAATTCATCGCGCCAATCAGTTCCGGAAAACACAGACTTAATTATCTTTAAAGCGGCTGATAACGACAAATGTAGATTAGCCGATTATTCGTATCTTGTGATATTTATGTTGGCAGTGCAAAAAATATTGGTTATTACGAGGCAACTTACATTTTCATAATGATGACATATCGCTCAAGGCTCACTTTCGATCTTTACAGAAAAGAAAAGCCAATTACAAGGTATTTTTATCAATAAATATATCGATGCAAACAGAATTAAATCGACCTCTCCCTTTTCATCACTACAAAATTTTACTTACGTAACACAAAAAATATTTGGTAAAAATAAATGAAACTGATTTTCACACAACTTACAACTACCACAATCATAAAAAATATATCGTTATAACCATTTTGTGAGAAGCACACGTAACTTTAGGAAAAAAGAAACCGCTCGAACACAACGAGCAAATCCATAATTAACCGTAAGTAAGCGGGCGGTCACAATTATGTACACTCGTCCCTTAATCACCCTGTAGCTTCTACAAATTCCAGCAAAAGTGTATAACAACAGAGGCTCTTGGCGAACTCGCCATTACGACTATTATTACGACTATTGTCGAGATATTTACAAGGATCTTCTTTTCTTTCATCTTATTACTCCTCGCTTTAGCTCTCACTTTCTTCTGTACCCTCTCCAAGAGAAGCGAGTGTACATATGAATAAGGCACAAGCACATGCTTTTACCACGCCAATTTTTGGCGAACACGCACAAATAACACGTGCAGAGATGTGGGACCCGCTTGAACGACGAATATGGCCAGCGCACGGCTCAGTCATTCATCCCCCATCGATTACTCGTTTATCCTCTTCCCCTCTTTTCGTCATTCTTTCATGCGCTATTCCATTTTACTACTACC